AGCGTGTAAGTTGGGTATATCAATTGACAAAGCATCAAATTCAATCTGAGCTGGAATCACGAAATTTAGACGCAAGCGGGAAACTGCAAAAGTTAAGAAGTCGCCTCTTCGAGCACATTCGAACTCCTGGTGTTACTCCAACGACGGAGACAAATCAGTTACTTTTTCCCCCAATGGACACTGTTGAAAATGGGGCTTCAAACTCAAATCTGGAACCCAGCATACTCAACAATTTCATGATGATTGTTGGTTTGCCTCCAAATTCTGATGTCAAAACCTTACGAATGAGGCTCGCAGACCTCGCTGAGAAGAGAGGGTTGTTCAGAAGGCATCCAACATCTGACGGCTTTACCGAACATCAAAGATTTGCCAAAGGCAGATCACTGCCAGATATGAAGATAAACCAGTACCCGTTTCCAGTTAAATTGAATTCAAACACCCAACCTCACACGGATACGGCTAGTCTCCGCAATCAAGTCAGAAAGTAGAACATTCGTTTCAATGGATACACTGACCCAGTCTCCTTTATGGAACGACTAAATGAACTAGTAGAAGCTTACGATATACCCCTAAACCGCATACTACAAGCAATGCCAGAAATCTTCAAAGGGAATGCCCTCCCCTGGTGGCGAAACAACAATGAATTTTGCAGGAATTTCACTGAGTTTCAACGAGAATTTGAATTGCAGTTCCTGCCTCCTGGCTATTACAAGAATTTAGATCGAGAAATACAGGATAGGACTCAAGGAGAACGAGAGACTTGTCGCCAATACGTTGTTGCAATCGTCACTCTAATTCGTTGACGAGGAGGAAATACTGAAGAAGACAAATTAGAAAAGATTTATGGGAACCTAAAACCTGAATATAAGCTGTATTTTCCCTGTCAAGATGGTCTCTGAACTGGACGCTCGAGCTGAGGAATACGAGGCAGTACTTCGATGTAGAGCAATGTATCGACCACCTCCTGCTCCTACTCAATCACTGACGCCTGAAACAGCATATCAGTCCAAAGGAAGTAGAAGATCAGAATCATATGAAGCCTTTTATCTCGAAAAACCCCCTTCCAGTGCAAGACTGAAGAAACAAAAGGAGAAAAAAGCAACAATTAGTTTTAAGATTCATACACAAATTTTTGTTTTCGTAAAAACCAAAAGGTATTTGTATAGATATTTAGATTTAGGATTTCTTTTAAGTTGAAAGTTTTTTTTTCATCATTGTGATACAAGGTTGTGATTTTTACGTTTGTTATTCTCTTGTTAGAACAAATTTGTTTATAAGTTTTTAGTTTTGTTAACGATTTTTTTTTTTTATAAAATTGTTTTAGTTGTTTTTATAGTTTTGTTTTTCTTTTCGTGAAGAAAGTGGTGAGTGTAACGAGCCAATTTTTTCAAGACACTTTTTTCCTTCCTCCTTAAACCTTATGACTCCTTTCCGCCGCCCCCAGTCAACTTCCGCCGCACCACACGCCGACCCATATATCCTTTCGCCACGACCTCCGCCCATTTCCTTACCTTACGTCTCCTTTCCGCAACCCCCAGTCAACCTCCGCCACCCATCATCACCTTCCACTACCCTAACTATCCTTCCGCCACGACCTCCGCCCATCTCCTTACCTCACGTCTCCTTACCGCAACCCCCAGTCAACTTCCGCCGCCCAATATTGCATTCCGCTGCCCTACCTAAGACGTAAACATCTTAATAATTTCAATCAGTTAATACACCATAATTCGAATATTAAAGATATTAAATTCGGAGTCCCTCAAGGCTCTATTCTGGGCCCATTACTTTTTCTATGCTATCTTAAGGGTTTACCTAGCATCACACCTTTTGATAATATCACTATGTATGCAGATGATAATAATTTTCTGATATCACGTAAAACTCTTGATGAAATCGAAGTTTCCGCTTTTAACCAGATTTCAACCTTAGAACAGGCTCTTAACGAAAAATGCTTGCTACTGAATCCTAATAAAACTAAGTTCATCACTTTTACAGCTTGCTCTAGAATTAGACCTGCACCTGAGAGTTGACAATATTTCTTAATGATCATGTGTAGGAAGAGGTGGATAATTCTAAATTCTTGGGCCTAATAATAGACAAAAACTTAAATTGGAATAATCATGTTTTATCAATTTCTAAAAAGTTAGCTTCTGGTTTTTTTGCATTAAGGAAGGTTTCTAAATTTAGCAGTTTGGTTACAATGAAAACCTCCATACATTCATTGAAAAGATTACAGAATTTTTTACCACAACACACTAAACTACATTTGATCAAATCACTTGTACTACCCCACTTCAGTTACTGCAACTCATTGATCAATGACTTGACTGCGACTCAGGCGGGTATGCTCCAGCGGTCACAGAATTATTGTTTGAGATTTGTCTATGGTCTGCGACGTATGGAGCATATCACGCCATACTACCTTGAGGCACACATCCTGAAATTAAATGATCAAACCAAAGATTCACTAAAATTTTGTCATTGGTTTTTTCAATTTTGAAATCAGGCTCCTTAAAATATTTCAAATCCGATTTTAAATTTGTGTCTCAGGGTACCTAGTTCACGAATGTCTCGTTATTCTTCGATCACATTGCGTATACCTCATCATGTGACAGCTTATGGCAGGGCTTTTGTTGTTACCGCTTGTCGTCTGTGGAACGGCCTACCCCTACACATTAAGACCCTTGAAAAACGTTCCCAGTTTGTGGCGGCACTGAAAAAGCTCTATTTTGAGAAGATGGTCTAGGCTGGCGTGTCCTAGGGCTACTGTTACCTTGTGCGTTTGCTGATGCGTGTATGCGAGAGTGTATGAATGTGTTTTTCTATTTGTTAAATTTTTATGTTTTTTTTAGATATGTAGGTACTTGAATTGTTAAATATTTTATGTTTAATTAGATTAAGTTATCCCTATGTCACATTATTTATGTTATATTTTTAATGTCAGGTTAAGTGTAAGAAAGGGCCATGTGGCCCTAACTTTGCCTGAAAAAATAAAGGATTTTTCATTTCATTTCATTTCAAAACCCTTTATCATGCCCTTGTACAGTCTCATATCGCTTTTGGTATTGTTTTATATGGTAATACCTCAAATGAAAATTTAGATGAACTGCTTATCCTTCAAAAACAAGCAATAAGAATAATTTTGAAGCTAAATTGGGATGATTCTGTTAAACATCTATTTACTGAATTAGAATTTTTTAATGTAGCCTACCTACATTTTTTTTTTTTTAAGAAAGAGGAGGGAAAATGCTTTTACGCACACAGGTAGCCAGCCTGTAGTGTGAGACTCCTGAATCTATCACAGACTACTCACTAAAAAACCCCCTCTACTCTGTTGGACACGGACCTGGAATTGTTTGTCACATTACTTCAAGTCAGGCCAACATGTGACCTAAGCCCTCAGGGCTCTCACCGTTTTTGGGATTTAGATACTTTATGACCTACACCGCATCCCGGTCAAGGTCGAGCTTCTTGGCGCAGAGAATACCCTGGATGTAATGTGACACACAGGTCCAATTGTCCTCACCCTCCGTCATCATCGGTATGACCGTGTCCACTGACAGCCTAAATAAGAACTACATGTAATTAGTCCACCAGTCCATCTAGATCTCCATAATGTGACGAAATTCCTATTATAGAAAACATTATTGACTACGGAATCACTTGAAATGTTATCCATCCTACCTTGTTTATTGTAGGCTAATTGTTGTATGTTTTTACGGTGATATCTTGAGAAATATTCATCAGCGGTGAAAAATAATGGTATATTTGTATTCAGGAGGTAAAAAACTTTAAAGTAAGATGTCAAAATTCGTTTGGAGGCACCTATACGGAATAAATACCTTACTTTTTAAATTGTTTTAATTTCAAAGATAACAACCTAAAATAAATTTGAGGTTTATAAAACATAACTAGCTATCACTACAGATTTTTTAATTCTTTCTAGTATAAATCATGTAGGGTACCCTATATTAAAATAAATTTCAAAAAAGTTCATACCCAATTACCCCTAATACCCAATTTCCCTTCTAAATACCCTAGTTTATGTATCGTAACCTAGTTGATTTAGCCTACTGTATTTTCTAAACGGCACCAAAGTCTATATTGCTTTTTAAAATCTAATTAATTGCATATTGCAATTTTGGTTTTGTTTTCATGTTGTCGTCGTGTGTTGTTTTGTATGTTTAGTATCGAATGTAAACAACTGACAGCTGTTTCCACTCCACAAACCTTCCTCCCCTTTCCGTGTCAGTCGCTACTAAGTAGAACTTGGACTCGTCCAAACCACAAATAAGTGAATAACTCAACAAAACTTAAGTTAAGCTTGATATCAATTATTTAACTGTAGGCCTAACTTATGGGAGAAATCTCTCCGACAAAAACTGATTGAATTTTTGGATTCTGCGTGAAAAATAACTTAGGTAGGCTACTGTAAGTAGCCTAGACATCTAAAAATTACATCATATCCCACTGTAGGTAGGCCTACAGTAAATAATTACCCCTGAAAAAAACTCCTTGTGCCACTGAAATAAAATCCAAGACCCCAATGAAGGATTAGGCCTGGACCTAAGTTAAAAATTGGAATAGGCCTAAATCCTGTGACCCTCAAGACCCGGTATCAACTTCTAAAGAAGAAAGTTAACTAATTTTGTAACTTAGGCTAGGCCTACTAAAATTTTTACTCGGACCAACCTTCACTTCTGACTTAAATATCTAAGGCCTAACTTAAAGCCTAGCCTTACATTAAAATTAAATGTTTGCTTACTAATCTACTACAATTGATCTACTACCCGTTGATATGAATAAATGAAATGAATAATCTGACCTAGAAAATGGAACCAAAATATTTATTCAACATACTCCCTAACAATTTGTTAAGTGAAGAAGCCTAGGCCTAGGCCTACAAGGTGGTCTAGACAGAAAACAACAAAACAATTAGAGAATTCATGTCAAGAGACCACATGGAACCTAAAAAGTATAAAGTAAGAAATATCAGGTACCTCTTCTATTTCAATTGCGTCGTCATCCGAGTCGTCTCGATTATTTACAGTGTCAGCATCATGTAATTCAATATCAAAAACTCCAGCCATTATCCACGTCTGCTACTAAATTTCCATTTAGGCCTAACACAACTCAAAATTAATATATAAATCCAAAATCACATGCTCGATTAAATTTTAAATAAAAATAGCACTAGTTGAAATTCTGAGTATAACAAATCACTGAAATATTATTATTAAATCAATTTGAAATTAAAGATTCGCCACAATAATAAAACACTATGACAGGGTTATGTCCCAAGTCAAGACCCAAAATGAAAGCGTAGCGTAGCGTGAAAGTTATGAATAGAGATTAGAGTAGAGAACAGCAGGAGGAGATAGGCAGAGCAGAGAGAAGTGCGATGGCAAAAGAATGAAGGACTCATCACACGAACAGCGCCTCAAGAATTGCGACGCTTTAATAACGTTGAACTGTATAAAATACTAGCTGTAACCCGCGGGCTTTGCCCCGTTTAACTTCTTAATTTTCAAGAAGATCTCGTTCGCATGGCTCAATCACGTCCTGTTTGAAGTTCGTTCGCTACGCTCACTCAGTACTCACCTTTAGGTTGGAGCTCGTTCGCTGCGCTCACTTGCCTTCAGGTTAGCTCGTTCGCTACGCTAACTCGCCTCCAGGTTGAAGTTCGTTCGCTACGCTCACTCACCTTTTGGTTGCAAATTAGCTGTTGTCATAAAATGTAAAAGAAATAATAGTGCTGCACCCTGTTGGTAATCCTTGTAACTTTAATGCTATTGAACATCATAGAACAGAACCAACTTGTTTAATTGAAACAGCTGTTAAGATTCATTAATTCCATTTTTCATAAGGTTAACATGGGAAGCTCCAGAGCCACTGGGGGGTGGAGCCGATTGGACGGATCACGAAATTGATGGTTTATAAACCTATTCCATGAAATTCTACACGTATGTACCAAGTTTCGTGGCAATCGGTTCAGCGGTGTCTGAGTTTATCACTGCCAAACAAATATATCTAATATATAAAATTCTCGTGTCACAGTGTTTGTCTGCAAACTCCTCCGGAACGACTTCACCGATCGTTATGAAATTTGGTGTGTAAATTCTGTAGGTATGCGAATCGGACGTAAACTATTTCCCGTTTCTAAAATTCTTAAAAGGGCTCCGCCCCAGTGGCTCTGGAGTTTCCCATGTTAACCTTATGAGAAATGGAATTAATGAATCTTAACAGCTGTTTCAATTAAACAAGTTGGTTCTGTTCTATGATGTTCAATAGCATTAAAGTTACAAGGATTACCAACAGGGTGCAGCACTATTATTTCTTTTACATTTATGACAACAGCTAATTTGCAACCAAAAGGTGAGTGAGCGTAGCGAACGAACTTCAACCTGGAGGCGAGTGAGCGTAGCGAACGAGCTAATCTGGAGGCGAGTTAGCGTAGCGAACGAGCTCCAACCTATAGGCAAGTGAGCGCAGCGAACGAGCTCCAACCCAAAGGTGAGTGAGCGTAGCGAACGAACTTCAACCAGGACGTGATTGAGCGATGCGAACGAGATCATCTTGAAAATTAAACGTAACGGTACTTTCTTTCCATCGGTCTGTCTTAGGGGAAACCTATAACTAGGCGATACGAAGTTCGCCGGGTCAGCTAGTATATATATATATATATATACAAACCCAGACAGCACACTTTATCCCAGGGACATCCCATAGTAGTCCCATATGTCCTGAGAATGTCTCGGGATATGTGCGCTATCCTCAGGATATCCCGCAAAATCCCGGGACGAGTACGAAATCCACAGGATATCCTACAATATACCGTAATGTCCCGGGATTTGTAAGTTAACCTCAGGATATCCTGTAAAGTCCCGGGATATGTACGAATGCCATAGGATATCCCAGAATGTCCCATGACATCCCAGGACATGTAAAAAATCCACTGGATATCCTGTAATGTCCCGGTAACAAACTGAAGAAAAAAATACTACCACTGATGAAATGTACAGTATATCTAAATTTAAATGTTCAACAAGGCCAATATATAATAATTTGTTTTTTTCACTAGTGCTTTCAGAAACTTGGTTTCCATCTTCAGGCTGTGTTTACACTAGTACAGAAAGTAAATATTTACTTAATAAATTAATTTTAAACAAAGTTAAAACAGATGATTTAAAGGATATTGGAAAAATAAAAAATAATATTAGAAAAATTAATCTTTTGAATTTTGGATATGTTACAGTGTTGTTCTTGATGTAATTATTTTCAGTAATTCCGAATTTATAATTGGGCCGTCTTCATTATTTAACAAATAATTTTGGTCTGTTTTTTTTTTCTAAAAATAAGATTCCCACGCATTAAGATGTTGAGGTTTTATAATTTATTTTAAAAGTTTAAGGTTTCCCAGATTGAAAATATATCTTGTTTAATACTATGGCTAGCAAGGGTTGACTTTACTTTACTGACATATTACTACCACTGAGTTCAGGAAAACTAGAGTTCTATCATAGTTGTGTGAAATGTGAATTTAATTCTAACTTTAAATTAATAAAACAACAAAAAACTAATTTTAATCATATAACAATCAATTATTACAGTGCTAATCTAATGGTGATTAAATAATCTATATTCAAATACCAGTATCCTCTCCAACTACCAGAAAAACAATTCAACTACTTGAGGCCTAAACAGATTAACAGAATCATATATAGCCTATACTGTAGTATCAAAAATATTTTAAGTATTGCGACCATTGCAACTGTCGGCTACTCTTTAACAACTTGAAAACACCCATTATCAACAAGCGCAGATAGCTCAGGAGGTAAGGTAAGAGGCTCACAAGGCGAAGGTACCAGGTTCGAAACCCGTCTGGGCCAAAAACTTTTTTCTCGTTTTTTTCTTCAAAATTTGTGTTTATTAACTATTTAATCAATTTACTAAACTTATAATTAAGCTTTTCATACTAAATCTATATTATTTTGTGTTTTTTATGTTCAGGCCCAGACCACACTTTATCCCAGGGACATCCCATAGTAGTCCCATATGTCCTGAGAATGTCCTGAGGACTACCCTGGGATGACCTCGGATGTCCCACGGATATGCGTGTGAGCTTATCCGTAGGACATCCCCGGGCGGGGACATTACGCATTCCTGTGGATATCCTGTGATATCCCAAGTTGACCATAGGACCACTATGGGATATCTTGCATATCCTGTCGCAATATCCGTGGGATGTCCTGAGGAGAAAGTGTGCTGTCTGGGAACATCCTCTTTTATACTACTTATAGATTTTGAATTTTATAAGAGTAATGTAATTGACTGTACACTGTCTTTAGAAAATACTAAAAAGAAATTAATCATCTGTCATCAAATTTAATATTTGTTTTTGTTTTGGTGAATTAACTTACAATTTTTTTTTGTCATTTTTAGAGCTTGAATATTCGGATGCTCCGCTTCAACTTGACTTCCCATTGCAGAAGTTCAAACCATCAGAACTAAAATCAATCATCATCAACAATCTTCATTCTGACAAGGCTCCTGGTTACGACCTCATAACTGGTAAAATACTTAAAAGAGCTTCCACGAAAAGGAATAATGTTTTTGACTATTTTATTTAACACAATGTTAAAACTTGAATATGTACCAGATCATTTCAAACGAGCACAATCGATAGTCATTCCGAAACCTGGGAAGCCTCTTGGCCAGGTAAGTTCATACCGACCAAGTCTTTTACCAGTAATTTCTAAGTTAAAATGGTATAATATTACCTGTTTCCGTCTGTGATCCTACATTTGTTGTATAGAGCAACCGGTTTCAAGGTTATAACCTCATCTTCAGGCTCTTGTTGTCACTCTTGCGAGATCGTCGAGTTTTACAAACACACAAAAACGAGCCTTATTCATCGATGTATAATAACACCCTGGATTGCGCGCTCAGGTTGCAGTAGGTCTCGAAACACGGTCCGCCGCTGCCTTGCTCTATCCGCGAGGAGTGGGGATAAAGGTTTTAATTTGACTAAATAAATTATAAAAATATGTTAAGGTAAAAACTAACTACATAGTAATAAGCACTGGTTTTTCCAGAAAAACAATATATCAATTTGAAATTTTTATGTTAACAAATAAATGTAGCAGAGCAGGTTGAGTGAATGTATGTTTGTGTAAAACAGTGAGGTTCATTCGGCCCGTTCGCCTCGGTATCCCGCCAATTCGATTGGCGGGCACGGACCGTTTTTCCACCACCTAGCGCGCTATCCAGTAGAGTTATATACATCGATGGCCTTATTATGCGCGGCCACTCGAGTAGCGCGCGACCGCGACTGCCAGTCGCTTAGGGTAGCCACAGGTGTGGCTTGGGGTAGCGACAGGTGTGGCGAGGCCACGCGACTGACTGAATTTTTTACAGACATACATTACATGTAGTTTCTCAGAGTGAATAAGTAAAGAAGCTGAACTATTTATTTTACTTTTACTTAAGCGTCGTAAACGTAGACGAAACAAAAGTATTGGGAGGCAATCCCTTACTAAAAGTAAGACCTCAGGGGTATTTTTCAGTGTTTATATGATGATTTCAGAGATGACGACAAGATGTATTTTGGTTGTTTCTGGGAGACGAGACGTTCTTTTTTTTAACCTTTTAGGAAGAATATAAGGCGACTTATCCGTATCGCATAATAAAATGAATAATTTTATATCAGCTAAGGAGAGGCAAGCACTTACCTTAAATTAAATATTATAATGGATTTGACTTGATTTAATCATAATATTAATACAATATTAGCAGCAAAACTCGGCGTTGCCCGGGTCAACATAGTATTCACAATATGATTCAAAAGGTCAACATCTCAAATAAAAGAGCCTTTGTTTTGAGGGGTAGTCCTGTTTTAAAACTAAGACATGTACAAATGGAGTTACGTATCATTGATTGCAGATAAGTGTTAAAATCCTTATATATAACTAGCTGTACCCGCGGGCTTTGCCCCGCTTAACTTCATAAGTATTCGCATGGCTCAATCACGTCCTGGTTGAAGTTCGTTCACTACGCTCACTCACGTTCAGGTTGGAAATCATTCGCTGCACTCACTTGTTTTCAGGTTAGCTCTTTCGCTACGCTTACTCGCCTCCAGGTTGATGTTCGTTCGCTACGCTCACTCACCTTTTGGTTGCAAATTAGCTGTTGTCATAAATTTAAAAAAGTCATCCCTTTTATTGTTTCTTTGATAAAGGTTTTTATGTTTTAATATTTAACATTGGAGAATTTAAACGTTGTTGAGTGCACAGGTGTGCTGCGATTGAGGTTTAATACATTTGGACTTATTAAAAAGTAAAATAGTTTT